GCATGGTGCCCTGGCCACGTGTGCCAATGCTCGGGACCACGCGGCTCTGCGGTGAGAGCACGCCGGCGGTGAGGTGGTGGTGCGGCTTGCCGGGCAAGGGCAACTGCGGGGCAACGCGGGCCCAAGTGCACTCTGAGGGGAAAAGGGGAGGGGCGACAGCGGCATGGCGCAGCGACGTCGGCGCGGTAGCAGCAAGGGGGGGGGGCTCACGCGCTCACACGAAGGGGAAACGACAGGCAGGGATGCAGTGGTGGCACGGCCCGGCGGGGACGCTGCGGTGGCACAGACGACAGAGACACGACGCGAGACCCGGGCGAGGCGCGGGCAGGCTCTATGGCATCGGGCGGGACCTAGCGTGGGCGCACACGGCGGCGTGCGGTAGCAGCGTAGGCCCGTGGGGGCTCTCACGCGCTCGTGTGGGGAGGAAGGGCGACGGCGGGCACCAACCCGCCCGAGGCCAGCAGAGGGAGGCGAGGCGTTGGCGATGGAGGCTCTGGCGTGGAGGAGTATGGGGCTTGGCGGCGATGCTGTGAAGGCTCGGTGCGGCAAAGCCCATGGTAGCGAGGCGACTTGATGAGGCATCGACTCCGGGCCAGGTCACGGTCGTGGAGCCGCTGCGACGCCATGGTGGTGCCGTGGCTGGCACCGCCTCGGCCTCCGGTCGTCACGGCCATGGTGGCTTTGGTCTGGGAAGGAGGCAGAGAGTGTAAAGCGAACGGAGGCAAGAAAAAGCAGTCGTGCAAGAGAGAGCGAGGAGCCGTGCGGTACGTCACCAACCATAAACGCGGCGTGGGGCAGGGGCAGGTGGCCTGGCATAATGTGGCCGGCAGGAGCAACACAACATGAGCAATTAAGACCAGCTCCGTCGGTGGTGGCCAGCAAAACCCGCATACACGCGATGGGGGCCCGACAACGAGTCGCGACGCTCGTCAATCAAAATTGATTGATTCCGCACAAGGGGAACGCACTACCATCATCTACGTCCCGCCCCGCTGTGGTTCAGTTCGCTCACTAGTCAATAACTAAATCACGACAGACAGCGGAACACATGGGCGTTGCGTGGCTCTACTAGCTGCGGCAGGATAGGTAAACAAGCGGCTACGAACGCGCAACAGCATTTGTTTTTTAAATCCCAAGTTGCGCTTTCATCTACTCGACTTGTACTTCAATTTTTTTATTAAAACCCCAACGCACGTTCTATATTATTGGTGCTCTATAAAAATCACTTTTCAAGCTGACTATTATTTATCGACACAAACTACGAATAGGTTTTCCATTTTCGTTCCTTTACAAACTAATTTTGAAACTAACAAACATCACAGCAATACTCGAAACAAACATACCAACACACTCATGACGTTCTTACCTTGCTGATGGCATAATTTTTCTACTCTCATTATATATCATTTTAGCTCTCAAATATTCATTTTCCAAGCCGACTATATATATTTTCAAACACGACTAAAGCACTAAAGTTTGTTACTCGATATTTTAAATGCAACAAAAATCATGCTCCGAATTTTACTTAAGTACTATATACCAGTCGTATCGTATTTTTGTTTATAAAATTTATTTTTCATGCTTAATCAAATAAATAAGCCATTCGTCCTTTTTTTGCTATTAGACATTTTTAAGCACTAGTCCATACGTCATGCTAACTTGTAGAAACAAAACATCTTGAAACTAATTAACCCGTTGTTCAACAGAATTCGCCAAAATTGACACTTTTAAACATAAGTTAAATTTTTTAAATCCGAGAAAATTGTTTCGGTAAATTCTCTTAGGTTTAAATCTTAGTGTTAAGCAAGCTCATAACACGAAGAGTGTTACACAATCCACTGGACTGTCTAGGTGCTAGCAAACACTAAGAGTAACCCGTCTTCAACCGTCACAATCCAAGTTATGAACACCGAGTGTACAACAAGCACACTCTCCCAATTTGCAATCCTGACTTGGATGCCATCAAGCCCTTTTCAATGTCCCTCTATATGTGTGTTATATTTTAGGGTCGAAGAGAGCTCCAAATGGGTAAGAGAAAACATATATATAGGGTGGGAAGGAGTTGTTAAGCGTTGAAGAAATTATGCAGTTGCAATTATTACTAGATGATCCGCCGAGCGGTACATAGTCGCACCAAATTATAAAATGATCCTATTCAGGTCAGTTTTCCAACGGTAAGAAGCGATACGCTATAATATGCTCCACGTGTGATTTGTTGCTGTCCACAATGGCATCATCGGTTTATCATGTGCTTACTTAGTGCTGCAACACTAAGTCGAACAGACCTTCACTGGATGAAACATCAGGTGACACCTGATCATATAGTGTACTCCAAAAGCTTGGGCACTCCACACACAGTTGAAGCCACCATTGTTGGATGATCTGCTGGGTTCCACACAAGCACACTGGACTGACTATACGATGAACTTTGATATCTTGGTCACTTGACACACAATCAAGTCACAACCTAATCAGATGATCTGGTAATCCATTAGGCATCACAAAGCTCCACCGAACCATAGGGTGAACTCCGGTGGCCATGTTAAGTGAGTCAGCACAGTGTCACCAGATGATCCATAGAGTGGGTCTCAATCATATCTGGTGTATATTCCGTTGCATATTTTTAGCCTGTTTTAAGTTTGATCCCCTCTAATTTGATCTCTCTGAGATTTTTGACTTAAATTCTATCCAATGAGACCACTTCTGAGCTGACTTGGGAGAGTATACCTCATGTGCACATCCAAGTGCTTTGAACCCAAACTCCCATCAAGTTACTAGTCTTGAGCCACTACCGGATACAGGAACTTTGCCGAGTGCCAGGGGCACTCGGCGAAGCCCCAAAAACACTTGACAAACCCTTTAACGGCAAACGCAAGTTTGCCGAGTGTTTTTTGTCGGGCACTCGGCAAAGACGTTGTTGAGTGCCCAAAAACACTCGCAAACTTTTTTTCAAAAAAAAATTAAAAAAATGGCACCACCATCCACGCGGCCACCACCATCCACGCACGCACCATGCCGCATCCGCCACCATCCACGCCACCGCCACCATCCACGCCCGCACCACACCACATCCACGCCCCCTACCTAGATCTCACCAGCAATTTCAAGGGGAAGACAGCTCACGGACGCGGATGGCGTTTGCCCGCTCACCTCTTGGCGCGCTTGGGGTCAAGGAGCGCGAGCTCAGCGAGCTTGTCATCGAGCACGACCTTCTTGGTGTAGCCCGGCAGCACGGAGGACGCGCGCGGACTCGCCCTCGAACGGCGAGGTGGCCCCATCCATGGAGCCGCTCCTCTTGTGCCCCGCCACGCCCCCACCTCCTCCGCCACTGCCTCCGTGCGGCGAGAGGCCGTCGAAGAAGGCGGTGTCGAGGGAGAGGCTCCGCATGTGCGCCCCACTCGGTGGCCTCGGCACTGCAGACGTCGGGCGAAGCCACCTACGACAGCGGCTGCTGGGGCGGCGGGGCCTGGGGCTGCAGCGTCGGGTCGGACGCCGTGGGTGAGTCGTGGAAGAAGGGAGGGGCTGGATCCGGGAGAGGGAGGTCCGGATCCAGGGGCGGCGGGCCGGGAGAGTGGGGGAGGGAGCGGCGCCGCCGGGAGAGAGGGAGGGGGCACCATATCTGGGAGAGGAGGGGAGGGGCGCCGGATCTAGGAGAGGAGGGGAAGGGGCGCCGGGAGAGGAGGGGAGGGGCGCCGGCGAGGGGAGGGGACGCCAGGAGAGGAGGGGAGGGGCGTCGGCCAGGATTTGAGGGTAGGGGGCGCCGACCAGGCGAGGCGAGGGGAGGAGGAGGGGAGGAGGAGATGCGGCTGAGGCGAGCGGGAGGGGAGGGAGAGGGAGCTGGAGGGGGGCCGGGAGGGGGGGGCAAAGAGGGAGGCGGTGAGGGAGGCGGGGTTTTATTTCCAAAAAAAATTCTTTGCCGAGTGTTCTATATGTGAACACTCGGCAAAGTTTTTTTTAATTTTTTTTCTTCTCTTTCTTTTTCAGAAAAAAAGATTTTGTTTCTTTGCCGAGTATTCTGGATCTGAGCACTCGGCAAAGTTTTTTTTCATTTTTTTTCTTCTTCTTTTTTTTCCAGAAAAAAGATTTTATTTATTTGCCGAGTGTTTTTTTTACACTCGGCAAACCAGCTCTTTGCCGAGTGTTTTTTTTACACTCGGCAAACCCCCTCTTTTGCCGAGTATTTTTTTTTGCCGAGTGTTTTTAGCGCAGCACTCCGCAAAAAAAACTTAGTCGCCGAGTGCCCGAGGGAATACACTCGGCAAACATAAAAACACTCGGCAAATTTGATGATTCCGGTAATGAGCTCCTCTTACTAATACAACCAAAGATTAAGAAAAGACCTACGTAGACACAACGTCAAGCATCTCCAAGCATCAAATTTGCACTTGACCTTATAGTATCCTTAATCTTCACGAAAATCCTTGGAGCCATACTTGATATCAACTTTGAGGCCAAGAACCTCCATGTGGCTGCCACGTGACTAACTCTATGTGGACATCCTCCGCAGAGCACACATTAGTAGCACCCACTAGTGTTCATCAATCACCAAATCACTATAATAAAAATTGTCGAGCTACTGTAAAATTGGACAAGCCTTCTAGCACCAGCTCTACTGACTCCTCTTCTCCGTTTTGGGCTTTTGAGACATCTCGGTGCTAGTGCTACAAATAGGCTACAGTGTTCAAGAGTGAGCTTGGAGCCACAGCTAGAGCATCGTGAAGCCCGGCCAAATGAGGCCTAAACTTTGCGTTAGATCTCGGAGTAAATAAGCCCAGGGAAATGAGGAATGATCGGCCATATGGGCCTCCAAGTGAATGATGGGCTGTCACCCTTGGCTTCCCCTCCTCCACTCTCGAGAGGGCCGCAGAAAACCCCCCAATGCGAGCGCCCCTGGCTTCTCGCCTCCTTTAGCCAAAACCCTAGCCTGCATACGCGCCCGAACAAGGCTTCGTGTCCGAGGGGCGCACTCCTGCCGCCAGAAGCTTCCAAGAGCATCAGCGATGGTGTGGTTCCAATGCGAGGACTGTGGCGAGAACCTCAAGAAGCCCAAGCTCGCCGGCCACTTCCGCTGCTGCTCCGCGTACAAGGTCAGAGCGGCGCCCGACTCCCTTCCCCTGTTCCGGTTCCTTTCTGGACCGATCTTTGGCGCCGCGGTGGTTAATTGATGTTTTTGTTGCGTGGCCGCAGCTGTCATGCATCGATTGCGGCGAGTTCTTCAGCCAGGAAACCGTGCAGGGGCACACCCAGTGCATCTCCGAGGCCGTGAGTTCATCCGCACCTCTCTCTCTGTGCCTTGCTCAATCCTTACTGTAGTGTGCAATTTACTGTTCGTCTCTGCAATTCCAATGAAGGATATGTGTCTGACGGTGCAATTGGTGCCTATGAACTGCTGTTGCATTGGATTGTGGGTGTTTTTATTTGTTCGCTCCCCTTTTGCTACTTTAATGTGGCTAGGCAATGTTGCTTGGCTACTGTTTGGAGTGCATAAACCTGTTCATTTTTGTTGATGGTCCCTCTGTCCTGAAATATATGGGATCCAAGTTTGCCCTAAGTTGGCCAAGTTTATAGAGAAGTGTATTAACATATACCACACAGAGGTAAATTATGAAAATATATTTCATAATGTATCCAACGATGCTAATTTGATGTCGTTCTTCTTTTCTATAAGTTTGTTCAAATTTAGCATTGTTTGACTTAGGATAAACTTAGCACTGTTACGGTCATTTCTTGCAATTGTTGGTAAGCTACATCTAGAAGTTACAGTCTGCAGGTTGATTTGTTCCTTTTCATATTAGGATTGGTAGTTTCAATAGAAGTTTTATAACCATGAAGGCTTATGTTAGAATATGTGGAGGTTCTAATTTCTAACTGAGCAGTACCTTTTTATGTACAGATTATAATATGTATAGGACTCTTCGGAGTGCATTCTCCATAGTTAGTGCATTCAGTCGCTAAGTAGGGCCTTGTAAAGTTTTAAGTGCACTGAAACAATGACATGTGGTTACTGTGGCTATTGTTATATGTGCAAATTATTAGTATTCAATCCTGTGCTCATTTTTACTGTATTTTTTTCATTCAGGAGAAGTATGGCCCTAAGGGACAGAACAAGCCATCCAATGGTGTACAGGGTAAGGCAGATAAGCCAAAGCCAAATGCAGATGTTGATATCAATGTTGGGCTGTCGACATGGCCTCCTTGGTTCTGTAGGTGTGCCAATTTGATCCCTTAGTATATACGGAGTACACAATAATTATTGCAGATTATTATGTAGTAACAGTGCTGATGCCATAGTTCTAAACCATCTTACTCCTAACCAAGTAACCATAGAGGTGTTGGTTGTGATCAATGTTTATAGCTTATTTCTATGCTTCTCATTTTTTCTGTTGATAAAAATCATGCTTGGGACTGTTTTGTTTTTTTGGATTAATAATACTCACATGGAGTGCAAGTACATCTATATACATGACTAGACATGGTAATACAATTAATCAAGAGGTTGCAGTTATTTTTGTAGTTGCAAACGTCTGTGATATAAGTTCAATTTTTTTAGCTTTCCTTTTCCATTTAGAAAAGCTTGCTGGGAACTATTAAAATTATTTGTATTATATCTTTCTTAATTCTTATGAATGATGGGTCTGGCATGTTGGTAGAGTATCTCCACTTGTGGCCTGGAGGTCCTAGGTTCAACCCAGCCTCTTTGCAAAATTAAGCAAGGGTAAGGCTGTCTAGAAATTCCATTCCCAGATGTCACCCTGTGTGGTAGCTTTCAGTACTGTGTATGCCCCTTTTTATGTTATTTATTACATGGGCAGTACAAGTGTGTACATGTAGACAACCAGACATACACTTCTACAGTAAACATGGTAATGTAGAGGCCAAATTTTTCTATTTTTCTTTTAAGTTGCATCTCTCTTACAAAGGTTAGGTCTTCTTCTGGTTCATCAGAGTGTTATATTTTTCAAGTGCCTTTATCATGTATATTGACTGCTAGGTTGATTTTTTATAATGCTTTTCTGTAGACAATTTCAAAATCTGAGAAAGCAAATTTGTCGTTGTTGTTTATATAAACAATATCGGGTTTATCCCGTTGTCAGCACATTGCGCATCTTGATTTGAAGTGTTTTGATCTGTGCTTCAAAGAACTCAGGAGCTTGCTTAGATATGTAGGAACTGTGTACTTATTGTCAATTTGCATGACAGCCTATGCAAGACCACTACCACAAGCAAGCAAACTCTCTTACTGCATGCTGATGGGAAGAAGCATAGGGCAAAGGCGAAGGCCTTCCATGCTTCTCAGAAACAAAAAGATGGTGCAGAACAAACTCCAGATGTGAAGGAAGCTGGAGCTGTACCCGCAAAAGAATCTGCTCAAGTAAATGGTGGTGTGAGTGGTGATCGTGGAAAAGAAGAAGATAAAGATGCTGGGAAAAGAAAACGAATGGATGACATGACCATAGAGGAGCCAGATAACACAAAAAGACAGTATTTAACAAGTTCGAGCGTTGGAGAGTTGACGCAGTCTAGCGATGTGAAGTCAGAAAACAAAGCGAAGAGTAAGGCAGATGAACTAGCAAGTGGTGCCAACTGCAAAAGTGTTGAAAGACAAAAGATCAAATGGAAGAAGATTATTACCAAAACACTGAAGACGGTGAGCCTAAAAAGTTTGATCTTGTCCTATATTGTCGCATCCTTTAAACTATATGTTGTTCACAATTGTGCTACTTTATTTCAGAACGCAGATGGAGTTATGAAGCTAAAGAAGCTGCAAAAGCTAGTCTCCCAAGGAGCTTGAGGAATGTGGTGTCTCTAAAGACAAGGAGGGGCTCCGCGCTACCTTGATGGATAAAGTAATCAATCATCATGAAACGAATCTAGCTACTTTACCTGCTGTATCCCTCCCCTTGATTCCAATTTTAGAGCATTTTGTTTACTAATGCATATTCCTTTTACTGCTGCTTGTCGCAGATAGCTTCAAGCTCCAGATTTTCTGTTGATGGCAAGCATGTTAGACTGGTGGCCAAGAATGAAGAAGAATCTTAGAAAGAGGTTGTCAGTCATTTCTTGGCATTGTTGCTGGTCTCATTCTTTGGTGTCAACTTTCAGATGGCTTATAGCCAAGTTTTGGTTAAATTGAGTGCATGAACCATCAGTTATTTTATCCATGACCTGTAGACGGTATGGGAATTTAGCATCTGAATTTTCTTGGCAGCCGTTCAAAAGTGAACTTTTAACTCTTTATGCTGCCAAGCGATGCCAATGATGGAGGCAGTATCTGATTGTCTGATTGACGGCAGATTTGCTATCACCAAACTACCGAAGTTTGGAAAAGGTAAACTGTGCATAGGAATTGATCTACTGAATTTTTCTTAATATACCGCTGGGACATCGTCGCCGTCACAAATTAGTTGGGATCAAAAACTGCAGCGCAACACCAGTCTGGTCGATGTTCTTTTTTTTTTCTTTGTTGAATCTATCTGGTGGGTGAGACTCGCAACCAGGTTGGAATTGAGCCCAGCCAAAGAATCTGTTCGAATCGTTGCCCAAAATCGATTGCGTTTGGGGGCCATGGGCTGAATAAAGCTGGATCGGCTGTGGGTCCTGGGCTCCTGGTTTGGCACGAGTCTTATGTGATTGAAAAATGTGACATGTTATTAATGAAGGGAAAAAAATCATCTTCACCTCCCTCAACTATTGCAGTAGTTTTGATTTACCTCCTTTAACCAAGGAATCGGATGTTTACGCTCCTCGAACTATTGAAATCGTTGGATTTACCTCCCTCAGCAAACGATTTTAACAAAGGTTTTTGCTGACATGGTGCTAGGCGTCCCACGTGGCAGTAAGAAGCCATTAAGTTAATCTATATTATTTAGAAATGGGCCTCCACTTTTTTCTAGCCATTGACGGCTCACATTTTTGACCAAAATGAATTCAAGAATCGATGCAAAGTGTCAATGACATAACCTTTGATGCAACACACAAGATGTTACTTGTGTGTCAATGTGTGTGTGAGAGAAATAATGGGAGCAGTGCACACACGCATGCATGCATGGCAGCCATTTGATGCATGAGAGAGAAATAATGTTAGGTGGTGTTTAAATCCAGTGAGTAAAGTTATGGCATGCCATATTGGGTGTCACATCAAGGTGTTACGTGAGAGTGTTCGGATAGTAATAATAAATTAAATTCTGAAGTGCTCAGTAATCCGCGAGACAAATTTATGAAGCCTAATTAATTCGTCATTAGCATATATTTACTGTAGCATCATATTATCAAATCATAGACTAATTAGGTTTAAAAATTTGTTTCACAAATTAGTCGTAATATGTACAATTAATTATTTTTAGTCTATATTTAATACTCTATGTATGTTTTAAACATACCATATGATAGGACGTAAACTTTAGAGCAACTAAGCCTCGGTTTCCAACTATAACCAGCACGGGTTCACCGGCAAGTCTTGCTGTTCCGCTGCAATGCTCGATCTGCAGCTCCCTACTCTACGCGACCAACGTGGACATGTGGCAACCAGCCAGCTAGTTCAGTGGCTTCAGGCAGTCAAATGCGGTTAGCATCTCCGGATTCCACACGCTGATTATACGGCATACATATATGCTTGCTTGACTTTGAAGGAAACCGTCGAAAACTGCAGCAACAGCCGCAGTAGTAGTAGTACAGTATATGTCATGTTGGCAACGATACGTCAAATACTATACGTATATGTGTCACATATATTGGCTTGTTCGCTTGGCTGATAAGCCATGGCTGAAAGTACTATTGATTGATTTGTTGTGAGCGAAAAATATTATTCGTTGGCTAAAAAAGTACGTCTTATAAGCCAAGCGAAAAGAGTGTATGTCTACATATTAGCTGTCAGCGTTAATTGTGTAGCTAGTCGTCGTGCTACCAGTAGTAGTGATCGTAGCATTTGGGCTACACTACACGAGCTGCCTCGAGTGTTCGGCAAGATTTACTGTAGTGGTGGCTGTAGGGTTAATTTGTTATGAGAAATAAATACTATTTTATGTTAAAAAATAGGATCGATTCTTGACTGATAACCTCACGAGCCTGTGGTCGTGGACCAATCATTTGATCTGAAAGCCTCCTGGAAAGTGCACACCGACCATTCCAACTACCGGTCCAGAGAATCCACACCAGTCTGTGCGGTTGCCGCGGCGCCATCGCCCTGTCTAGCTCTCGCTCTCGCCGCGCGCATGGACCATCCCTGATATTAAAATAACAAGAGACAGCACCCGGCCATCCCTGCTGCAGGGCCGGGCAGCCTCCCAGACCACACCACCGCCCACACGCTTGTCCTGCTCCTACGTCCCTCTCATGGTGCCTATGATCATGAACACGAAACCACACACGCACACACAGAACCAGGCATGCATTAGCATTAGGAAAGATAGTTAAGCACGGACAGAGAGAGGATTAGTTTTTTTTTCTCCTAACACTCAAAAGATTTGCGTATCATTGTATCAAGTAAAAGAGTTTAAACAAACATACAACGCGTTCTGTCGAGCGTCGAAGGAGGTCGACCTAACACAGCCGTAGCTAGACCATCTTAGCAAAAGACCTCTTATTTTGATATTACATAAAAGAAAACAACTAATACCAACACAACGGTGTAACCTAGGAGGTGGCCGTAAATCTTCGCGGCTGCCTGGACGAGCCTTTTCCAAAGGCCGGGAAGAGCGTGTCCATCAAAGAGTTTGTCAAAGGCCTTCCACTCCAACGCGGATGACGCTGATGGACCTTTGGTGTAGCCCATACGCTGCATGATCAGCACCTCTCCTCGCTTGGAAGCAAGTACTCAGGAGAGGCTCTGAGCCGCTAATCGCCTGCTCCGCCACGACAGCACCGGCTTAGCAGGAGGTTGCTAGGGAGGCTCACGAATCAGCGGAGAGTCCCTCTTACGCGTCACTTTGTGGATGAAACTGTTGAGGCAGCATTTGGCGGAGCCGTCGTTGTCCACAATCTGGTGGGTATCCACTGACGGTGAACTGGGAGGGCCAGCATCCACCGTGAGGTCGACTGGTCTAAAGCCTGGCGGGTAGCTGTGCTCCGTGTGTGTCTTCGGTGAGTCCACTGCCCACTGAATGGGGCGTGGGGGTAGTGTACGTAGCTCGCAGGAGATCGTTGCTGAGTCCTCATCCTCCAACTAGGGGCCGCCACCGCTCTGGCCTCACCTTGTAGTTGGGGTGGGGCGCCGAAGGTGACAACAGGCGCTCAAGGGAAGGCCACACGACGATCCAACTGTCGACGAGCGAGGCTGCAAACTCCTCAAACATCGGGTTCTCCTTGATGTCGCGATCATGTGTGGCGCCCGGGTACAGCGTCAGCGTCAATGGGTCAGGCTCGACGAAGCCCGTCTCGTTGGCGAGATCACCCTGCCACGGTGGTGGGCTCATCTTGACCTTCTCGGGCAGCACTGTCGGCGGTCGCAGTGTTGTCCGGCGCCACAGCGTTGCCTTCCTCTCTGTGCCACACCCGACGTATGCGACGTCGACGTCGGAGTCGCCGTCCTTTGCTGCAGCACCCAGGGGCGCCCCGCATGGCTTCGCCCGAGCCTGGCCTACCTACATCTGCACCCATGCCCGGTGTACCGGTGTGGGGGTGTTGCTGGTCGTGACGATCCTGGGAATGATGTTGACGGTGTGCGCCCAAGTCGCCAGGTACACTGTTCCTTGCCGAACTTGGCCTTTGCGGCTGTTTGCAATCACGCGCGCGATGGCGAAAGACCCTGCAACACAGGCAACACTGGGGCAGCCTGCTGAAAGGTCGAGATGGTAGACTAGAGGGAGGGGTGAATAGTCCTTTCTAAAATTAATCACGTCGGCTAACCGAAACAAGTGCGGAATTAAAACAATCGGTCTAGCCAAGACTACACCCCTCTATTAAAGTTCTCTATCACCTAACAACGATCCTAATTAAGCAACTAAGGTGCCGGATTAGCTAGAGTTCACCTAATCAATTCTAGAAGCAAGGTCACACAAACCTATGCCACTAGTACTTTAAGCAACAATGGAGTTCCTACACATGCTAGTAAGCAAAAGCACAAAGTCAACTAAGCTCACTAGCAATGCTCAATAACAAGGCAACCAATGTCAAATTAGAGAGCGCAACTACTTAGCTACACAAATTAAGCAATGTGACTAACAAGTTTACACAAACCAAATTAGCCATGCAAGGGAGCTATTTCTATGCTACACAAGCAAGAAGGTAACTAGTAAGCTACACAAGCTAACTAATTACAAGAGCAACTACACAAGCACAATGTATATGAAATGTAAATACAAGCTTGTGTAATGAGGATGTAAACCAACGGGAAGAACAAGGTTGACACAGTGATTTTTCTCTCGAGGTTCACGTGTTTGCCAACACGCTAGTCCCCGTTGTGTCGACCGCTCACTTGGTGGTTCGGCGGCTAATTGGCATCACCCGCCAAGCCCGCACGTCGAGCACTACAAGAACCTACCCCGAAAGTGAGGGTAGCTCAATGACACGCTCAACTAGAGTTGCTCTTCGTGGCTCCCGCAGGGCGAGCACAATGCCCCTCACAAAGCTCTTCTCTGGAGCACCGCACAAGCTTCTTGCGGGCTTCGATGGAGACCACCACCAAGCCGTCTAGGAGGTGGCAACCTCCAAGAGTAACAAGCACCACTGGCTTGCAACTCGATCACCTAGTGCCACTCGATGCAACCTCACGATGCAATCACACTAGAATCGCTCTCTCTCACAATCGAATGATCACTATCAAGTATATGTGAGATGGAGGGCTTCCAAGCACTACTACACAAGCCACCAAGGCTCTAGTGTGCTCAGCTTCCAGCCCAAGGCTGGCCATGGCTTATATTTATAACCCCACGAACAAATAGAGCCGTTACCCCTTCACTGGGCAAAAGTCAGGCTGACCGGACGCTTCGGTCATGTTGACCGGACACTAGACCTCAGCGTCCGGTCGCTCGATGACAGCCACGTGTCACCTGCTTCAAATACAGTACGCCCGATCTCAACGGTCATATGACGACCGAACGTTG